TATATATATACACATCCATACATATATACACATCCTTATATATATATATACACACACACCCATACATATATACACATCCATATATATACACATCTATATATATATATATATATATATACACAAACACATAGGTATATATATATATATCACACTGTGTTGTAGCTTTCCTCAGGGAATACAGAAGGCTTTAAGTCTTTCCCTTTTCAGCCTAACTGCCTGATGGTAAAATACTACCCAAATATTTTATGCCTGTGTAGAGTCAAGTCATGAGGAAAGGAACCCTCCTCCTAGAAATATTGACTTTGTGATTAAGAGCAAGACACTCTCTTTCTGGTTGTTTGGGAAATGAGGTGTGTTGAGAGGGAGGTGTGGGGTTGTTCTAATATAAAAATGAAACGACTGAAAAGCACAAAAGAGTGGCCCATTATGTTTTCTGTCACTTGTAATGCGATAACTGAAACTGGGTAATTTATAAAGAAGCAGAACTCATTTCTTATAGCTTTGGAGGCTGGGAAGTCCAAGGTCGAGGGGTTGCATCTGGTGAGGGCCTTCTTCTTGGTGGGGACTCTTTATAGAGTCCTGTGATGATGCAGGGATTTGCATGGTGAGGACTGAGCAAGAGCACACATTAACATGCTCTCTTGTTCTCCTTGTAAAGCCATCAGTGCCCCTCCCATGATAACCCACTCATCCATCAAGCATCCATTAACCCATTAATCCATTAATACATGAATAGATTAATCCATTCATGAGGGCATAGCCCTCACAATCAAATTACCTCCTAAAGGTCCCACCTTTCAATAGTGCTACATCAGGGATGAAGCTTCCATATGTGCTTTGGAGAGGACAAACATTCATACCATGTATGGAATATAAAATCTAATCTATATATGGGTACAGCTAAAAGAACTTTGGGTGACTTTGGAACTTAAAACAATTAATAGTAAAATGCATTTGCTCCTAGACTCATAGCATGTTCCCTTTATTAATTCTGGTTAGGGTTGTACTGAGTGCCTGTAGGACATTCTGGTATCTATGACTAGCGGGGAATTAAATAGAACCAGGTTTGACACCCAAGGTCAATTATGAGCTGGAGATAAAATTTTTGGAGAAATTGAATAGAGCCAGGTCTGAAACCCGAGGACAAGTGCTGTGATCTGAGTGTTTGTCTGCTTCAAAGCTCATGTGGAAGCTTGATCCCCAATGAGACAGTGTTGAAAGGAAGGTGATTGCATTGTGAGGGTTATGTCCTCATGAATAGATTAATTCATTCACAGATTAATTGGTTAATGGATAAACAGGTTTTCATGGTAGAGGCACTCATGGCTTTATAAGCAGAAAAAGTACATTGAAGTGCTCTTGCTCAACCCTCACTCTGTGATACTTTGCGTTGTCACAGGACTCTGTAGAGTCCCCAGCAAGAAGGCCCTTGCCAGATGTGGATTTACCAGCCTCCCAAACTATAAGAAATAAATTTTGTTTTCTTATAAATTACCCAGTTTCGGGTATTCTGTTACAAGCAACAGAAAACTAAGAAGTATGAGCTAGACAAAAAATTTTGGGAGAAATCACCTATGGATGACAGTTAAAAACATCACATTAGCCACAGTGACCTACAGAGTATATACATTTGAGAAAGCACTGATATTAGTATTTAGCCTAGACAAAATGTGTGTTTAAGGGGCACTAGCGGAAGGTCCCAGAAGGAGACTAAGTCATTCCTGGCTAACTATTCTATATCTGAGAAATAAAGGGAGACAATATGAAAGAAAGGGAGTGGTCAGCAGAGTCTAATGCAGAGGAGACAGCTATTAAGATAAGGCTTGAAAAGTGTCCATTGTTTGATGCTGAAGGGCTGGTCTGCTTATGGCAAATGTTGGAAGCACTGTCCTTGTCCTGTGATTATTCTGTGTCCATATCAAAGGGTAGAACAAGTCTCAGGGTGACAGTAGATGTTATCTATAGGGTAACCATCTTATAGAGTTATGAAGAGGAATTCTTTCCTTGGTAAAAGGTTAGCTAGAAAGCTTGTTAACTCCTCTGGAAATCTAAGATTCTTTTATGCTAGTATCTGAACAGCCCAACTTTGAATCATTGGCAGTAGGGCTTGAATAGCAAGATATCCCCCTCTACTCCAGGGTCTTTTGTTAGTTAGAAATAGCAACACGTTAAAGCTGGATAGGCAGGGTTATTATATAAGCCATTTCAGGTGCCCACAGGAACTTGAACCCCTTCATGTGCACACACTCAGCCAAAGCAGCAACGTGCAAATAACCTGTACTCATCTGGTTAGCGTTTCACTTTGCTTTTTGACTTTTAATTCAAACTAAACATTAATATAGGAAGTTTTGATAATAAGCCATGAACTTCATCTTTTTTTAAAGGTAGTGTAGCTCTCTTCCTGTAGTGTAACCATAGCAACTGACAAGGTACAGAGAAAGAAAGCTTTCACACATGCTGTGCTAATTAATCCTGCCCTACAGTTTTCCTTCAGCTGGAGGATGCAGTTTAATAAATTTTGCATGAGTAAGCGTGTTTTGATGCATGAACTGTATAAATACATAGCATTATCTTTACCAAAAATATTTGGAAAAAATGTAGTTATGTGCTCATACTTCAAAGTGTACTTTTCTTTTTCTTTTTTAAAAGCCATTGTTTTAATAATTGTCTTGCTCTCAAAAGTTTTGGGATTTATTTATCTTATTAGCTAAACAAAAACATTGTTAGATTAAATCCTTTTGTTCATATATATATATATATGGGACACTTTCCACAAGAAACTGTTTTGATTGACTGTATTTAAAATAAGATGATGAGAGTTTTTCTCAAGAGCTGCAGAAGAATGTATCTTAAAAATATAATAACAGTCTTCATTCTATATGACACATATACGTGGAAACCATGTTAAGAAACTCAGTCTTAACACTTTGAAAAGTTAGATATTGAAAAGTCATTTTCACTGTTGTTTTGGGAAGTTATGTGACTCATCTGGCTGAAGTTGGGCAGTCTTTGACCTAAATGTGGGAAGGAAGAAAATAATGTAGAAAGATAATTTTTCTTCTTATATTTTCCACAGATATTTAACCAGTTTAACAAATTCATATTCAGAATGAACATAATTGATCTAAAATTACATATAATTATTTTGATTTATACTATTTTTAGTTTTAATTTGAGGTTGTCTTCTCCCTTTAAAAGTGGGAATATTTCAATTTTTTGTAACTAGCCTGGTCATCTGAACTGTCAAAGAAAATCTCAGACTTTTTCATTCTCCTGTTTCTCTGGCCTAGCTTTCTGACAGTAGGGCCTCGGGAAAACTAAGGGAATCTAGCCTGAATGTTTTTTGTATCCCCTTTGACTTGACAACAGCATATGGAGTAAATCAGAACCTATTTCAGGACTTGTGCTTAGGTCTTTGGTCTCTCTAAGGAAGCATAGTCAATTGAGGAACCAAACCTTTTGATGAGATTACCAAATTCTGGAGACACTACTATTCTGATTGTCCTATCTATTGTTCAGTTTTGTCTGAATTGAGGTAGAATAAAACCTTGCAGAGAAAAAAATGCAAGAGATTATAGAAAACTGTTATTGAAAAGAGTTATTCCATTTATGTGCAGAAAAGTTGGGGACCGTGAATGTGTAAGTATGTTTTTGGGTATATAATCTGTACATTTTAATATGGAATACTTGTAAATGTTAACCAACTTATAACATGCCATTGCATCATTATTAAAACTGCAATGTAGAAAAAAATTGAGACTGTAACCATGGTTGAGTTAATTAGAAATTCTTTGTCTCACCAGCCATCCTATTAATTTAAAAATGTACATATAATGCAGAAAATGGAATGCTCTGTTTAATAAACAGAAAAAAGTCATATTCCTAAATACTATGTAAAAATTTAAATAATCAGAACATTAAAACGAAAATGTTATGGTAAGAAATGTTACTGTAAAAATGTTTTGTGCACTTTGAGCATCATAGTGGTAAGTAATACTTTACACTTGTCATTAATGAACATAGCTAGATAGAAAATTATCACACAGTTTATTTTTTCTTTTAAAAAATAACATCTGTAGATTTTGTGATTATTAAAAGAATTATACATTCATTGCATAAAACTTGAAAAAAACTCAGAAAAGGTTTTTTAAAAATTGGATAATCCCATATTCCAGAGGTAACCACTGAAGACATTTAAATGTATTTTCTGCCAGTCTTTTTTCTATGCATGAGTAATTATGGTTGTGAGGTAAAACTGCCTGTATTTTTTTAACTTAACATATTATTGTGACCATTTTTCAGTTTTTAAAAATTCTTAGAAGACATTTTAGTTTATAATATACTATCTCATCATCTGTATATACAAGATTTATCTGTCTATTCCTTAATAATTATTTATATAGGTGGTCTTCAGGTGAGCTTCCCCAATAAGCATTTCTTAATGAGTGTTTGACAGAACACTGAAACCACAAGAACTTTTGGGACAACCATTTGAGAAAAGTGTTATACTCTCTTCTTGTAGATTCACAATACACATTAGAAAAATTAAGAGCATGCAGAAGTCTCACAATTTGGAGACTGTTTAACTTTATAAATCCATCTTTTCTCAAAGTTATTTGACCAAAGAACCCTTTCTCATAACACTTATACATTTATAACTTTCAGAAGTAGAGTTCCATGAAACATACTTTGGAAAATTCAGATTTCTAAGTTTCCATGTTATGTCTAATAGTTTGTGAATCATTTGTTTACTCTGCTGATATTTAATTAGATGCAATGCTTTAGTGGAAAATATAGATGATTTAATGGTTATTAGCATATATACAAAGCAGAGAAACCACAGTATGCTTTCTACAATCTTTCCATTAACCTTGACATTACGTTTGCGATTCTGTATTACAATACTGTGTTCGACCTTTCAAAATTGTGAACATTCAAATTAAAATTCCCTTGTTCTGTTAATGCCCATTAAACTTTTTTATGTTTCATATGACCCACAGGTCTTGCAAGAGCAAAATCCGTCCCTAGCCACACATACTCCAATGAAGTGGTTACCTTGTGGTACAGACCTCCAGATGTCCTCCTGGGCTCGACAGAATATTCCACCTGCCTTGACATGTGGTGAGAAATGGAAGCTTTACTTTAGCTAATCCATCTGTGTTGCTTGGTCTGAGTCAAGTCTAGACAAACATCCTAATAGTTTGAATGAAGATTAATGGTGCAGGAGTGTCTGCCTTTGTGTGTGGCAATACTGCTGGATTTTTAAAAACATGATTGGGAATGTTCCCTAATCAGCATCTCCCTTGTAGATGGTGTCTGGTAATGGTTCTTGATGGACAGGGGCAGAGACATTTTTCTGTCTGTCAGTACTGTGATTTTTCTCCGTAAGGGACTTTATTTGTGGCTTCATTTTATGACAAGGAAGTATACATCTACAAACAGCAATAAGGTTGGAAACAGTAGGGAGCATGTTTAAATTCACAACAAAGCTCAGATAAGTGGTCTGAAAATTTTGGTGTAACTGCTTGACACCAAATTTGTTTACTGAATACAGCTGAAAACTTTATCCAAAATGAAATAAAATGATTACTTTTTAAAAATATCATAAGTTTAATTTCAGCAGAGTCTCAGTTTCACACAATGGTTTTGCAAAGCTTAAAAATCTATTTCATGAATTCTGATGACTAGTAAGATTTAATGCATTATTATTATTAATGGTCATCGATGCTGAGTTCCCAATCAAGTGTGATCTAAATCAAATAATCAAATAAGGTAATAATCTTATTTTTAGCATTCAGGATAGGCTTACTAGTAACTGTTGAGTATGTCTTTTATTAATAGAAAAATTCCTTTTCTAGACTCACAATTGTGTTCAAAGTAAAACAATTCACATATGGCATGGCTATTTTATAACAGGAACCATCTTCCTTGAGTCATTATGCCTCCATATATAGGATTCAGATACATGTTCATATAATGTTTATGATCTCGGTAAAACTTCAGCAGGTGTTGTGTATATTATTGCTGTGTACTTATGTCACTGCTCTACCCCCAGTAATCTTGGCTTTTAGTAAATTAGGCTTTAATGAGACTTGGCTTCTTCCCTGATGTTTCTGATCCAAAAATTTTATGGTGAGAAAATGATCAAGTTCCTTGCAATGTAGAGCACAGTAGATTTTCTTAATTTAGGTTCTAGCAACCCCCGCTTCCAATAATTGGATTTGGGGACCTGTAAAGCAACATTTTGTATATTTATTTTTATGGAGCGTAGATCTGTAGCTTTCAATAGAGTTATAAAAGAATCTAGATCATCAAACATTCTAAGATCGGATTTCATAAATTTTGTAGTGCCTTAATAAATCAAATACCATTTTAATGATATTATAACACATGAGAATAAAGATGAACATCTATCATTGAGGGTTGAACTAATCCATTTTTTCATTTTACTTTCCTGCCTTCTTTTTTTTTTTTTTTCATGGTTGTTTACACAGATTTTTTTTCCAAGGCTAGGCAGGGGCTTGGGCAAAATAGATATTTAGATCATTAGTTATGATGGATGCAGCAGAATATCAGTTACTAACTTACTCATTCCCTTCATACTTCCTTCCTTATAGTTGAGAATTAGCTATTACAAATAATCATTATTTAATATTCTTGAGTTATGAGTTAGGATGTTTTTCCTCTATTTTTTGAGTATGAAAATTCTAGGTTGCCTTTCAACAAGGTCAGTTAAGGACTCTGCTAATAAAACATAATTTGGAAACATTTGTGGCTTGGAGCCAGTTTTGTCTTAGTTGCATGGCTGTTCAGTTAAAACTGTACCCTCACAATCAGGCAAAGCTGTTTTTTTATACACTAGTGGCTAATTTTTCCCAAATGTTTAAAAGTACTCTTTAAAATACAAAGAACCACATGGACTGTGACTTGCTAATACGTCTGCTTCTGATGTGTAGTATTTGATTTCCAACCTGTGCCTCTTCCCCACTTTTGTCGCGCACGCGTGTGTGTGTTTTCATTCTTTTAGGAAGATGGCGTGGGCTGCCAATTTGCTTTGAACAGAGGCATAATGGAAGCATAAGAAGAAGACAGTTATTTAAGTGGAAGGGATCAAAACTGATAGAAAATAGTAGACCCCAAATGCCCTTTTGTCTACATGCCAAGATTATTCATTGCCAAAAACAAATGGCACATGTGTTGTCTGAGCAGATTCCCATGCTTATTGGCTCTTCACTTCCAAACCCTAAAATCTAAGTTATGTCTATGCTATGCCTGTCATGCTGGATCCAGTCTCATTCCAAGCCATTTTCTAAAAGCCATTTTGTTGTTGTACTGTAAGTCAGGTAAAATGTACGTGTTTTTCCAGTGAGAGAGTAGTTCACAGGGCACTGATTTTTGCATAATCAATGACATCGACTCTGGGTGTTCAGAGACCTAGAAATGGGACTATAATTGAGTCATGGCTCAGCTGCACCAAGGAGAAGTGCAAGTATTAACCCATCGACAATAGCAGGGAGGCAGGTGGCAGTAGTTTTAGGCTATTTTTACAGTTCATTTACCGTCGTGGGGCACTAGGGCAGTAACTAAAAACTAACGATCCCTACACAATGTTACATTTTCTAGTTTTCTGTGTAAATAACCACAGGCAATAAAAAAACTTAATGAAGACACATATGCATTAACATTGTCAGCAAATGATGGATATCAGAGCTTGCTGTGGTATGATTTACTCCTGCAGGTCTCCAACACCGTGGCAATGTGTGAATACACTGTGTGATTTGAGAACTCAAGAAACATAGTTTTTGTCCATAATGGAAAATTGCGGCAGAGTACTCAAATTGAACCTTGCCTCTTGCATAACTTCTGTTAATTTTTGGATTTTGTAACTCTTTGAAAGTCAAGGCATAGGAGATCATTGCTAAGCTTCTAAACCAAAAAGGATTACCAAGTTCTCAAAACCACATTAAGAGAACTGCAAATGTAACAAGCAGCTTATCTGTGTAGTTCTTCCCTTGCCAGGGAGCTCTGCTCTAGCTGTTGAGGTCATTGCTTCAAATCAGCTTTATATTCATTTATAGAAGCTCATAAATATGCTTAGAGCTGCATTTGTTTTATAAAGCAGAAGGTCACTTGGGATTATTTTAAGGGATCAATTTTTAATTTAGGGTGACTGAGTTATCTGTAGCTAATAAATGATTATCTCATCTAGATCACAGTGCTTTGGGGGTGCCAAAATGTACAGTAGCACTACCCTGTGATAACAGCTACAGTGCTCCCCAACACAGTATGTGAAGAATGATAACATGTCAGTTTCTTCCTTTCATCATGTTTTTAAAAGCTAATTAACATATTAACTACGCTTGTCAAAATGTGGGGCAAACCATTTATAAATAAGCCTGTCAAATGTAATGAGATTGCATATTAAATCACCCGTTCTCTATTACATCTCTGATTTAAGATTAAAATTAATTTATTTAACATTGTAGCAGCTGGGTGGTTAGAAAGAAATTTCCATGCCAGCCTTGATATATAGAAAAATGTCGGCATCAAAATTGATTTTGTATATATCAGAAAAGAAATTACCTGTTTGTTAAGTATTATAAGGCTAGTTAGCATTTCTTTCTATTAAATAAGCTAATCACCATACTTACTGGCAGTGTACCAAGTTCTGTCATCATCTTTATGATCTCCTTTTAAAATTTTTATTGATTTATTTTGTTTTATTTATTTATTTATTTTTTCCTTTTTGTCTTTTTCGTGACCGGTAACGGGGTCACAACCCTCGGTGTCGCACCCGCACCACGCTCAACCAGTGAGCGGACCGGTCTCTATATGGGATCTGAACCCTCAGCGGGAGCGCTGCCGTGCTCCCAAGCGCCGCACTCTACCGAGTGCACCACTGGGCCGGCCCTATTGATTTCTTTTAATCGACACAATGTAATTGTGCATGCTTATTGAGTACAATTTGATGTTTTGATACATATATATATATATATATTATCTGTATATATCTGGTTGGGGTAGTTAATGTAACCACGTCATACACTTATTTCTTTGTGGTGAAAACATTCAAAAGCCTCTCCTCTAGCTGTTAAGTAATATATGCAAAACTTAACTGTTAATCATAGTCACCCTACTGTATAATAGAACACCAGAACTTATTCCTTCTATCTAATTGTAATTTTATACTCATTGGCCAGTAATATCAACTTCTTTTTTTTTTTTTTTTTCTATTCCACTATGTGTGAGATCATATGGTATTTGTCTTTCTGTGCTTGGCTTACTTCACTTAACATAATGCCCTCCAGGTCCATCCATGTTACAACAAATGACAGGATTTCATTATTTTTTATGGCTGAATAGTATGCTATTGTATATATATGCCATATTTTCATATCCATTAATCCATTGTTGGAAACTTAGGTTGATTCCATATCTTGGCTACTGTAAATTGTGCTGCAATAAAGATGGGAGTATAGCTATCTCTTGGACATACTGACTTCATTTCTTTTGGGTGTTTACCCAGTTGTGGGACTGCAGTCAAACAGTTGTTATATTTTTAATTTTTTGAGGAACCTCCATACTGTTTTTCATAATGGCTGGATTAGTTTACACTCCCACCAACAGTGTGCATGTGTTCCCTTTTCTCCACATCCTTGGCAACACTTACTTTCTTTTGTCTTTTTGATAATAGCCATTTTAACTGAAGTGAACGGGTATCACATTTTTGTTTTGATTAGGATTTTCCAGATGATTAGTGATCAGCACTTTTTCATATGCCTGTTGGCCATTTGTATGTCTTCTTTTGAGAAATGTCTAAGATCCTCTGCCCATTCGTCAATTGAGTTATTTGTTTTATGCTGATGAGTTGTTCAAGTCCTTATGTATTCTTGATGGTAACCCTTTGTCAGATGTATAGTTTGCAGATATTTTCTTCCATTCTATAGGTTGTCTCTTCACTCTGTTAAAAATTTCCTTTGATGTGTGAAAGCTTTTTAGTTTGATGCAATCCCATTTGTCTTTTTTTGCCTGTCTTGCTTGTGCTTTTGAAGTCTTATTTAAAAAATCCTTGCCCAGCTCCATGTTGTAGATCATTTCCCATATGTTTTCTTCTAGTTTCA